CATACAGTTCCGTGTCTAGGAAGTTGTAGTTCGGATCCGACTCGCAGAAGGGATGGCGGGTGAGCAGGGTTCCGGCAGTAGGACGTTCAGCCGAGTCACTGGAAGACGTTAGTAAATATAATCAGGCGATCCAAGAACAAATCGGACGAAGACATACATTGTGAAGCAATCATACATGAATGCAAGAGCCGCGGGACTAATGTTCATAGAAACATCATCCGGAATCGGTGGAGCCTGGCTCAGACTGCCGAGTTTGAAGATAGCGCCGATAGCCTCCTCCTTGCTCCATGGTCGACGGCCCGCGAACATCTCCAGCACCACACAGCCAAGGGACCAGATATCGACCTTGGCACTGTAGCCCTGACCCTGTGACTGGATGACCTCCGGGGCCATCCAAAAGACGGAGCCCTGCATGGAGTTGGACGAGTCATTGCCGTATATGTCGTCTGTTTTCTTAGATATACCAAAGTCAGAGATCTTGCACGTGCCATCGAGATCCAGGAGGATGTTGTCTGCTTTCAGGTCGCGGTGGAGGATTCCCTTGTCGTGCAGGTATGCCAGTCCGTCCAGGGTCTGCCGCGTCAGTGATCTCACCACACTTTCTTCGAATTTGCCGTGCTTGCGCAGACAGCTTCCGACAGATCCACCGGAGATATACTCCAGGTAGATGGAGATGGAAAATTCGCCGCGCTCGCATCCAAGATACTGCACGATGTTAGGGTGTTCGAGGTGCTGCATCGTGTCGATCTCCTGGTCCAGGGCAGCCACCATCTCCTTGATACGGTCTTTGTCTGCCCCTGCAATTCGCGGGTTGATCTCAACCAGTTTGACTGCCAAAACTTCACCATTGTCCGCGTTCATGCCTAGGTATACGCGACCGTAAGTACCCTTGCCGATGAGCTGACCACGGATAATGCGGAAAGTGGGCTGTCGCTGAGGAACAGGCCCGGCATTGGACGCCAGTTGGGCGCTGTTTTGCGGAATCGGATCGAGTTGGCTAAGCCGGGTACCTGGCCTGGGCCTGATTTGCATAATTTTGGCGCCGAACATCTTGGTACTCTTTCGGCGTAGAAGATCACCCGACCTTTGTGGACCAGCATGAACGCTGTTCGTCCGGTTCGCTCCTTGGGCCACCTGTCGAATAGATTTCATGCGAGAGAGTCCGCCGCCACCGACACCACCACGAGCAAGTTTCTGTCGAGCAAAGTTGGCAGGTTCGGGCGGTCTCACTGGCGCTGTATCAGGCGCATGGGGTGCATTTGGCATGGGTGGCGGTACTTCCTTTTTGTCTTTGAGGTTCGCGTCATGTTCATTGATAGTCTTGCTACTGGGTGATGAGGGCTCATCCAGGTATGGAGCGTCAAGATCAACATCAGGGAAGAAGTCATCGAGGTGGTCAATAACGCCTTCAACGGCAGGTCTGCTTGCCCAGATATCTCGAGCAAATGACTCTCGCTGTGGTCCAGGCCGCTCATCTTCAGGCGAGGCTGGTCCCCAGGTACTGGAAACCGGTTCCTTCCCATCAGATGCCTCTCCGCCGGAGCTAGGACCGGCAGTACTCGGAGATTTGAACCTGACAGACAACTTTGACCTTAATTGATCTTTCGTGTTCACGGTCAGCGATGGCCTCTCCGCCTTCTTTTCGGCCTCGGTTTGTGTTTGTTTCGGTTCTTCCTGAACCCTTGAAGGTCGGACTTGGAATAGGCCATCGTCCGAGTCATCATCAGAATCGTCATCTGAGTCCTGCTGCTGTTGGGGAGTTCGCTGGAAGGATACTTGATTCTCTTCAAAGTCGAACTCTGGACCGAACGACTTGCGAGTTTGCAAGCCAGGTCTCGGCGAGTCTTCACCAAAAGCCTTTTCGGGTGACTGATCGGCAAACGAGACTGGCGGTTTCTCGCGTTCTGTAGCCATCTTCGAAGTGGGTCTCGAAGAGTCTGGAAGGTAGTCTGAGGAAGGTCGATCAGACCGCGCTGTGTCGTGCATGTACTGACCCAGGGGTGTTCTGCTTGAAAAGGTTCCAGTAGAATCAAATGCCCCTGGTCGATCAGACTCGGAGATTGTACTGTTTTGAGTGTTGGCCGAAGGCGTAGATGGAGCCGGTACCGAAGGCAATGGCGTGCCAACCGCACTTGTAATGCGGCCAACGCTAGCAATTGCAGCGCCCAAGGACGGCTGTATCCGAGCTTCACGAGGTTCACGAGTGGTGGGTCTCCTGCTGAGAGAATTGACCTTGGTAAGAGTGTTGGACTCGATTGGCGCTGTGGGAGGTTTACGAAGTGGTACAAGCGAATCTCCCTTCTTTTCGTCATAAGGCGAGATACGAGGACTATCAAAGTCAATGACTTCGTTTCGCCTGTACCCGGTGTCACTGTAGGCGTTCTTGTTCTGCAGCGGCATTTTAGATTGTAAATATTGTTTTTGTTTACGTTCGACCTCACGGAGGTGTTCCTCATGGCGAGCGAGCAAATCGGATTTGTCAGACCCAAGAGCTTGGCTTGCGTCCTGTACGGTCTCTGCCGGGGATGGCTTCCCTGTAGAAGCCTTGAGAGTGCTTTGCCGAGAGCCCAACAATGGAGACTCTGGTCTGGTGCGGTGCGGTGATAACCTGTTAAGGGCATCTTCATCCAAGGGCTTCCTGTGGACCTGGTGGTGTGTTGCCGTCGGGGACATGTTGGACTTGTCTATGAAAGAAACTCCCAAGCCATCGACTCGAGGAGTATTGGGTGGCATAGGAAGCATAGGAGTCCCTCGTACAAACAGCTTGAGAGAACCGTATGCATCTGACTTGTTTCGACGCGACTGTGCAAGGTATGCGTCACTCATAGGATCATCATGCTCGCTTTGCCCGGGCTGGGTAAGGTAAATCTGCGCATTGCTCGGGTCGATCGAGAGGCTTTCACAGATCCCGGTACGCAATGACTCGAAAGAGTCGAGATCAGTGATGTCAATCAGACGGTAGTTCAAGCCATCCGTGGTGGCAAATATCCATTTCTTCGTCCTTGTTATCGCCGTGGATGGACGCTCACCGACGGACATGTCGCTAGTGTTGTAAGAAGGCTTTATGTAAGGGAGATAGGCTTCATTCGGGCGAGTCTCCGGGCTTGTCGTAGGCGACGAGTCTTCATGCTGATGATCGGGAGACGGGTGGCTAGAAGCCGTAGCTCTTGTCTTCTTCTTCAGAATATTAGAGAAAAAGCCCTTGTGTTCTTTGGAGTACGAAGACGAGGTTTGGTCATTCCATTGCCGACTGGAGGCATCTTGAGGCGAGGGACGAGTACCCTCTTGGCCTAACCTGCGAGAATCATGTTCATGGCCTTGTCTACGTGAATCGTAGTACCGGCCTGTAGCGCCCCGATTGATCGATTCGGTGCTATTACCCCGAGAGTGATCATACGGTCTCAACGTCAGATCCCCAGTGGATGATGAAAATGCTCCTGCATAAGCGGGTGACACATTCTGCAAGGCAGGGCTGCCACTAATTGGACTTTCTTCATGGGGCCGAAGAGATGCTCCCTGAAAATTGCCCGATTCGCTGCCAATGGACGAACTCTGGCGTCGATGGTCGCTGTTTATTCCCGATAGGGCATTGCGGGTATACTCTGACCGCGAATAGTCAGATCGCGCCCAGTTTTCTCGTGCCGGAGACTCATTTTTTCTAGGCGAATCGTGGCCAGCAGAGACCGGCATGGTAACCGAGCGTTGCCCAGGCTGCTTTTGGGCTTGATTGGAGGCATGCAATGCACTCAGATGATCCTGACTCACATCATTGACACCAGGGATAGGGCCAGCCGAACGTGGCTCGGAAAATTTAGAAGAAAAGTAAGCCGCACTGTTCTCAGGGAACGCAGTCGCCGGCGGCTGCGTCTGATTCAGTGGGGTAGTGACGGTGTAGTCTTGCGAACCATCATGGATTTGACGGATGAGTTTGCGCATACGCTTCCCTTCATCTCGTTCCCGGCCAGGTTCCCATTTTTTGCCACTCCGGCCAACCTCCTTGGACAATTGAGGATAAACCACTTGATGCATTTTCCCGAGGTTTCCTCGTCCGCCGGATCCATGTCCAAGCTCGAGGAAGTCAGCCCCTTCAAGCTCCAAAGATTTGAATGTTTCCTGCCAGTCGTTGGAAAATCCATTCTTCGCAAGCCAGATGAGTACGCGATCCAATGGCCACTGGATCGCCGCTTCGCTGTGAGATAAACCGCCCAGCGAAGTACCGCTAGCGTTGTAACGATGACTTGTCGTTTTAGTAAGCTCGGTAGTTGGAGCTGTCGCCTGTTGCTGCGGACTGTCGTTGGACGTTAATTCATGAATGTTGTTATGAAGAGCGTACGGCGAAGAAACGGTGCGGGCCCCGGGGCTCTGCGGAAGACTTGTATCTGGTTTATACGGGGTTGGAGTATTGATGTGATCTTGCATTTGGCTGAGACCCAACCGTTGTCTCTCGGCATTGGTGTGCGCATATGGATGAGCTCTTCCATTGGGGTCGAACAACCCCGGAATGCCGACGCCAATAGTATCGTTCCCGGGTATATAAGTTGCGGATGTCAGAGACTGATGGTCATGACGCGGAGGAACGATCGACAAGTGCGCTGGTGGGCGACCGTATGTTAGATGCTGGTTTGGTGCGGGGGCAAGAGGGGGCGGCGGTGGGAAGCCTGGGTTCAGCGCCGGTCTGGCCCAGTTTTGCTGCCATCCTGTCGGAGTTCCATAGATCGCTCCTGGAGGCGGGCCAGGGGGCGGGCCAGGAGGAGGAGGTGGCACCAGCGTTTGGGCTTGTGGATGTCGAGGCGGAGGGGGAGGCAGGTTCATATGTTGTTGTGTCTGAGAGGAAGGCGGGGGCCCCGGGACATACTGTTGACGTCCATCCATTGTGATGCCCGTTGCACTGGATCTGGCTGTTAATTGTAGTTATATCCCGCTGTCTCGACTGCGACGTCCAGGGGAGGTTTGGACGAAGGTGGTTTTCGGGGTTGTTCAGGTAGGATCATTAACGCATCATGCTAGACGTCCCAGCGCCAAACAAGCGGTCGGATTTGAGGGCCGGATACTCGATCTCGGTGGTCGCTTCGGAAGGGCAGAAATGGAACGAATTTAGGTCCTCAGTGCGTGAGTTGACATGGTTTGGTTCGGCGTTGCCGATGTTATCGCAGCGCTTGGGATTGCAGAACAGACTGAAATCGCGCGACGGGCTGGTACAAGGCCAAGACAATCTCAAGATGATTGACTGAAATAAAGAAAAGCTCTTGCGAACTCAGTACATGGTTAGCCACCTGCGGTTTTGTGATGGCGACGCGATTGGGTCGAAAGATTGGAAGATTGTAAGGTTAAAAGGCGAATGGAATTCAAGCAAGTGGAAGCGAGCACACAACACCACAACTCCTTACTTCCGATTGTATTTCGGAAGCGAATGGAACTCACCAAGAATGCTTGAAGTGATAATATCAAATGGCCCTCGATTATATCGATTGTGATGTCTCGAGGGGGATCGTCACGTGGTCCTTGGATATGGTAAACTCCCTCTTCCTGTCCTTTTAGGGTTATAGTAGTACATATGTACATGGGACACAGTACACGGTGAGAAAGAAGGAACAATATAACTAGTATCGTACTTTTAGCACTTTCTTCATGGGATATCTCCCAGACCCCGTCTGGGCCTGCAATCTCCCAATCTCACCTTCGGTGGCCCGTGATCACATGGTACCTGCTACGCCGCCAATGACAGTGCTGTGGCGTCTGCATCTTCATTTTCGGTCTGCTCTAAAAGCATTGGGTGGAAATAAATCCAAAACTTGGCATATGCCTTAGCCACCATGGTCCGGAATACTGGCATGAAAGTAGTCGTCTTCGGAGTACTTCTACTAGAAGTATTAGCGAACTATCAGTGGAAAAACACAGTCTAAACGAGGAAAATTAAATTGTATCTCGCTAATAAGTTAACGGAATACATGTAAGAATTATTTTTGAAAAGTCATAAACATCCACCATTGCACACATCAAGTTGTCCTCATTCATCCCCAGATCTAGAGAACAGTGCCCTTGTTCTGCTCCTTGTCCACCCTGTAATGTCTCCACATACCAATACAGGGGATAGCAAGCGCAAGAATCGCCGTCGCAGAAATGCAGCCATACTTCTGACTGTACCCGTAGGCGAAGTTGATCGCGTCACGCTCCGGAGTGCCGGGTAGATACTGCATTTGAGTAACATAGCCACCGGAATAGATGGTAGCCCACTGATCCTTGGCACTTTCAGGCAGGGCATCGCGCAGTCCCTGGGGGAAGGTATTGGCGTAGATGGCAGCGGAGACGGCATAGCCAATGGCGCCGCCCAAGTTCGAGAACAGAGAAACCAGAGAGATCATCATGGGGATGCCCTCACGGTCAGACGCGCACATGACGGCCATCTGCTCGCCGATGACCAACATACCTCCAGAGAAGGCAATGAAGATCTGGCACATGATCACGTACCCAATATCGCCGTCCGAGCCGCGGAAGTGGATCATCAAGCCGGCGCCGAGGATCATCAATGGTAGAGCGAAGAAGAGGCAACTGTACTTGAACTCTTTCACGTAGCGGATCCAGATTCCGAAGATCGGGGACCAGAAGCAGGATCCCACGGTGTAAATCGCTGTCATGTAGCCGGTCATCGTGACATCGAGGTTGTATACGACCATCACAAAGTAGTAGTAGTACAGATCCCAGGAGTAGAAGCTGAAATAGAGGATAGCGGAGAGACAGCAGGCGCCGAGGACGGTGCGGTCTTTGAAGAGCTGGTAGGGGATGAAGTGGGTGCGGGCGATCCATTTTTCCCAGGCCGCAAAGACGAAGAAGAGGCAGAAGCCAATAACCAGGGGCGCGATAAAGCTGGCTTCGGCGTACTGGGCACGGCCATAGTTGGCCAAACTGAAGGGAAGGAGGAACAAGATGAAAGCCGCCATTAGAAGGAAGGCACCGACAACTAAAAGTTTGGTCAGTGATGGGTTGAGGACAGAAGGGAAGATATATACGCACTGTCGAACTCGTGCAAGTAGTGAATGATAGACTGCATAGTAGTCCTGCCGGTAACTGGGCGCTGCAAGACACCCATCTTCCGGGCCTTGATTTCATAATACTTGAAGACACCAGCCAGAGGCAGGAAGACAAAGGGCATGATAATAGCAAAGGCACCATAGGCCCATCGCCAGTTTGAAGTCTTCAGGAAATTCGCAGCAGCCAGTGGACCCGTGAATGAAGTGCAGATGAATGGTGTGGAGGCAAATGCAAAGGCGAAAGCACGGTTGCGCATGCCCGAAGTATCGGCAATAAAGATGTCCAGGATGATGTAGATCGCATCATATCCAACCCAGTACAGAACGTAACCGGCAGCGTAACTGTTGGCGTTGTTGCAAGCAGCAAGGATGATAATGCCGAGAATATATACGGTTGTGAAGATGATGAGACCTTCTGCACGTCCCCATAGAGTCAAGATCTTTCCGATGGGGAGCTTGAGAACTCCACCGACGATACTTGCCAGAATGGTGGCCGTGCTGACCTGAGAAGCATCCTGGAAGTTGGAGTAGGCATAGTAGAGAACGTTGGAACCGATAGAGGAATGCAAAGCCAACATAAAGAAACAGATCCAGATCCTGTAGATGTTAGATTCTAGTTCATATGCCGTTCTCATCCATATTACTTACCAGGCATAGGTTGCGTAAACAGCCGGCTTGCTCCAGACCAAAGCAACAGCCTCAGCCTTGCGCACACCATCTGCAGTATTCGCGGTGACCTGGTCAGGATGTTCCTCGATCTCCTTCTCTGCACGGCCCAGGTTGTTCAGATGATCGTCCACCGTGTTTTGCTCCACATTGATATCGGGCTTCTCATTTCCTTGAGTTGGGCGCAGATCCTCGACGACCACCTGGTCCTTTCGACCACGAATCAGATCGAAGACACCCATGACTTACAGTATAGGGAGCTCCGAAAAAAAAAGATTGAGAATATGAGAAGGAAAAAGAAAGAAGAGGGGCACTCGGGGAGTCCAGCTATATATGGGGGATGGAGCATCTAAAGAGATTTGTTGTGAGTTGAATCATTTTGGAAGCTAACCATGAACCTTCCAAGGTGCACGGAATAGCCAGGACTGGTTAGTCCACCAAAGTCCCGGAGATAAACGGATCAGATACCCCAAGCCATGGAATTAAGACTCTAACAACGGACCAGCCGACACGCCACTCAACCTGGAAGTGTGTGGGATTCACCAATGCTTCTCACGGCTGAATGATGCCGATAAAATCCTGCGCAATGATTGGTTTACAGGCTCATCGGTCAAATCCGAGTGTCTCCAGTTTCGGTTAGTTTGGCTAGCTCTAGTTTGCCGGCAGTCGCGGCAGGCTGCTTGTTTTTTTTTTCTTCCTTTCTTGGCTTTCTATTATCGTCCCAGGCTTTTGTCTTATCTTATACCTACCTAGCAGGTGTCCTCAAATGTAATATTTAATTTACAACATTGGAAGTAGAGTACATATAGATATGGCTGGGAATATCCAAGGGTATCAATAAGCATAGGGGAACCTGCCATATTCAAATAAAAGTCAGTCCCCTCATAGACCCCGAAAGCATGATAGATTAATCCAGGCCGTCGGACTCCCAATCAAAATGCAAGCATTTTGGCCGCTAAGGGCTTATTTTGCGCCAAGTGGAGAGAGGCAGGTAATCAGATGCTTTTCGGAGCTCCACCCGAGATCAGCAGGCTGTCATGGGACACAGAGATGACCTTTTCATGAAAAATTGGTAGACTTGCAGATCGATATACATCAACGAGGAGCGATGAATAGGAAGATCGTTCCTGAATATAAGGTTACCAGGTAGGTACACTTTCGCCTTCCATCTTATCAGATGAAGATTATCAGATCAATCCTAAAAATCAAATCCCGCGTGTTTGGACCGCTCTCGGGCCTTTCCAACTTTGGAAGGTTCCTAGGTTCGTTCCAAGGTTCCTTTGTTCCTTCCAAGTTTCTCGGCGACCATCGGGAATTTTGTTTATTTTCAGGTCTTGGAAGAGAAGATTTTTTTTTTCGTTTTTTGCTGTCAGTCTGGACTCGGCAGAGTCGGATCTATACACAACATAGCCACACTGTAGCTTAGCTTTAGCAGTCGAGATGATTCACAGCTTTGCCTTAGCGTAAAAGTGTCCACCTGGGCACGGCCAGTGCTCATTCGACATTCTCTTCTTCGCTAGTTACTTGGGACTCATATGACTTATTGCTGTTTCCGGGAGTGGTTCGGACAGGAGTTTCCCTTCGGGCTTAGTCTATTTCCGCTTTTTATTGTTCCACGTGGATGATGAACCTTACTTTAGTTAAATCAGATTGGTAGAGTTTCCTAAGGTGAGGCTCTTCTAGGAAATTGATATTGGGGAGCTCTTTTCCTTCCTCTCACCGGTATCCCAAATCCTAGCGGAGGCAAATATCGGAGCTCAACGAATGACAAAAGGACTCGCATCTGATATCCTAAATTTATCCCTGAGAACTTCCTAGACATCTCTCACCCAATCGATGACTAGTGGTCCCACCGGGACATTCCACATTAAAAGAAAGATGCCACCTCCTACCTCCCATAAACAGGAGTGTATGCAGCTTTAGAAATGAATTATAGGTTGACATTGGTTTGGACACGAAAAATTGAGCAGAATCTGCCAGAGAAAACTTGAAAGCATTTGGCTTGGTAACTTTAACTTCGACATTGTAGCGACGCTAGCCTCGTATTAGCCTCGTACTAGCCTCGGACGCTGGGTCGGCTTTGCTTGCATTTTCTCATCTGTCAGAATCTAGGATGAATACTGTTATTTTTCATCCCTGATACAGTTGGGTCACGTGACTGACCAGGCTGGTTTTTCTGCAGAAAAACATCCTTTCATTTTGTTTTATTTGTTTTGATTACTAAGTTGTCCACAAGATTGTCATGTTTTAGGACTATTGTCATTTTTAGAGAGTTAGAGAATTTATTGAGATTTTTCTGCCACATATACACTCGCCTTACCACCGTTTTTCCGTCATCATCTACTTAGTATCATGTCTTGATATATCTACCCAGATTTTGATAATGGCAGACTTCAAACTTAAGATATGAAGATTTCATTGGATTTCATGAGTGAAGAGCGAAGATGTGCATGCTACATACTCAACGACCGTTATTAAATCCCGCCGCTAGGTGGCCACCCCCTTTCGAAAGCCGTGAGAATGGAAAAGAAAGCACCGAGGCCTAAACAATTCAGAGTTCAGGTATTGCTATCATGTTGCTTTTCATATGCATCGTAACGTTACGACAAGAGTCATAGTACTTTCTCGTGATTCGAACCGCTTATTTGTTGCGCTGCGCAGCAGCCTCGGCGGTCAATTTCAAGGCCGCAGGGGCATCATCACGAGGCATGTACAGCTCGACCAGCTATATACTGTGTTAGCAAACAGTTTGAGACTTCTTTGTATTGATAACTCACTCGAAGCTTGTCGGAAACGTTGAATTCCTCCTTGGTGAACAGCTCGTTGAGATCGTCACGGGTCTTGATACGATAGCCTGCGTAGTTGTCCTTGTCTCCTCCGAAGACCTTGGGAATGTTGGCAAAGTCCCATGGCTGGATGTCGTTGTAGCCTGCGTCCCATCCATGGATGTATCGCTCAATAGTGTAGCCGTCGTTGCAGATAACGAAACTGGAGATGGTCAGTATATGATATGGGAATTCCGGGCTGCTGGGGATGCTTACACAATAGGGTTCAACTTCTTCTTCAGGATGGTGCTTAGTTCCTGCACAGTCAGTTGGATACTTCCGTCGCCAATGAAGAGAATGGTTCGACGATCTCCCAACTCCTTAGCAGCGAGGGCAGCGCCTTGACAAGCTCCCATGGCATAGCCAATGCTGCCCCAGAGAACTTGGCTAATGGCAATCACATTCGCCGGGAAGCGGGTATCCCAAATACCGAAGTTGGCAGTGCCAGTCTCCGTAAGGATGATGTCATTTTCCCTGAGCCACTGTCCGACGATGGGCCAGAGCCACTTGTGGGTGATGGTTTGATCGGTAGAGTTTTTCTCGCTTTCGGGCAGTCGGTTCGAAGCCGGGGGAATAGGAGCATGGGTGAGAGTACTCATCCGCTCAACGACCTTCCTCAAGACACCTTTCATGTTGATATTAGGATACTCCGAGTACCGCACTCTCACAAAGGTACTATGGAAGTCAATGCTGTTTAGCTGCCCAACACGGTAAGTGAAACCGGTAGTGTTGAAATCGGACTTGATTCCTCCAATGCTCAGAATGAGATCGGAGGATTCAACGGCCTCGCTGACTCCAGCGTTAGACCCATTGCCAGCATAAACACCACCGAAGTTCTTGTGGGTCTCGTTCACAGCTCCCTTGCCCATCGGAGTCACAAAGGTTGGCAATCCAGACTTCTCCACCAAATCGTGCACTTCATCTAGTGCGCGGTGACGAATGGCACAGGCATCAACCAAAATGACAGGGTTCTTTGCGGCCTCGAGATACTTCAGGACAACATCGACCACGTAATCCTCCTTCTCCGGGTCATTCGTAGGCAATGAAAGATCAATCGGCGTCTTGAGGCGGTCGCCATCGACCTTAGCAGCAACCATATCAGTTGGCAGAGTGATGTACACGGGACGGCTGCGAATCCAGCATTCACGAATGGCACTGTCAATCAGAGTGGCTGCGTCCTTGGGTTCGTTCAGGCGTGCGACGTAGCACGAGATTCCCTCGCTCATCTTGGTAAATACATTGAAGTCACCGTTTCCAAGAGTGTGGTGCAACAACATTCCGTCCCTTTGAGACTGAGTGGTGGGCTGACCAACGATATGGATGACTGGGACGAATTCGGAGTAGGCTCCTGCGATGGCATTGAGGGCGGACAGCTCTCCAACACCGAATGTGGTGACAATAGCACTGATACCGTTAACACGAGCATAACCATCGGCGGCATAACCTAAGAGGAGGTGATGTTAGACGGGGATTATTCATTCGTCGTCAAGTCTGTCTTACCGGCATTAAGCTCGTTGCAGTTTCCAACCCAGTTGAGACCACACTTAGGCAGGTAATCCAATGCTACAAGATTGTAATCACCGGGTAGACCATGCAATGAGCGGATTCCGACCTCGTGAAGACGTCGGAATAAGTATTCGGCAACATCCACGGGATTATTTAGTTCCCTGGTAGCAATATCGGTAGACACCATGATGATTGATATGATTGGAGGGATATGGTAGAATGGAAAGAGAAGAAGGAAAAGGTGAGGTGGGATAGAGGGGGAGGGGAACTTTTGTGAGAAAGGTGAGACCACATGGACTACGTCATGGTCTTGATGTCATGCCATCATTTCGTACTTTGATAGACATTGTGTTATTTTTAGAGTCAATTTGTAGGCTAGGACACGTAGCAGAACAGATAAGCCTTTATTATGTACAACATATCTAGAACTACATAATCATGCCATAGAATAGTGTACACAGGTCGCAAATCCGATGTCCGGAGGAATAAGCATATCATGGAAAAGCCTGGGCAGGTCGATCTCGGGGCTAAACCGAACGCAGCTCTCGGCCGATCACACAAACTCCGACCCCCCACCTGGGCCACATTCCAACATCCTGGCATATCAAAGCTTAGATTGCTAAATGGGGAAAAGAGCTATGCCTGATAGATCAAGTCACTCTTCAAAGAAGAGAAAGGTTGGTTTCGAACAAATCTCGTGATGGAGCACTGACTAATGGGATTAGGGTGGTGGAAAATATGGGAAACAGGCCAGTCGCGTCGCGATTGAATCTGGTGATGTAGGTGTCTTTGTGACATGCGATATGGGCAGAGAAGGAAAATGTCTGTCTGAGGCAGTAGATATTTTTACTCAGGTGAGAAGATTTTTTTCGCTTAAGATCATTCTTACTTTTTCGCTAACTCTTCGCCTAGGCCATCGAGGGCACTGAAAATGAAGAGGAAGAGGATCAAGATACGGATGATGAAGATATCGAGGCCCAGATCCGAAGGGAACTGGAGGGCCTACAGCCCAGCAAAAACAAAACTCGTCAATTCCAGCCCGTGCAGATGGACATGCCGTGTGGTAAGTCTGCGATCATTCCAAGAAACGCCATTTCGTTTATGCGCTCGGCCCTCGGAACGTTCATAGGTGCTAATCCTGACAGTTACATTCATGCGTCTGGATCCCTCAATAGACCCGGTGCAGCTTGTGCACCGTCTGTGTAGCGAAGCACATGCCCATCCGGAGACTAAGAAAAGCCGATGGATCAAGCGCATGCATCCAGTCACATCAATCCGGAAGACCCTGAGTGTGGACTTGGCGGCTTTTTCGAAAGAGATTCTCAAGCCTCATTTCCATTCGGGAGGGCCACCAAAGACGGTGAGTTGAAGGCATCCCTACCTTCCAGTCGGAGGTTCTCCTAATCTAGGAAATGATCTTGCTGTGAGGGGAAATGTACTTTGAGCATTGCTGATCTGTCACCTATTTAGTATGCCATTCGGCCTACTGTGCGGGGCAACTCGAAGCTCAACCGAGACGTTATTATTAAGACTGTTGCCGATGCTGTCGGACCTGAGCATCCGGTGAATTTGAAGAATTATGATCTAATGATCCTCGTTGATGTTGCCCAAGTGAGTACTACAAAACGAACCCTCTACTAGATCTTCAACTGACTTGTCGCAGAATGTGATTGGAATGAGTGTAGTGCCAGGTGATTATGATAAGCTAAAGCGGTTCAACTTGGCCGAAATCTACGATCCTTCACCAAAAGCAGAGCCGACCACGGCCACTGAGTCTAAGGCTTAGCATCAATGACACATTACTTTCCGCGGTAGGTAGTTCAATAATAACTACTATCACCGATGCTACACTTATATCATCTCCACCGCTGGTTTTCATACATTCATAACCAGTCCTTTGAAGTAAACCGACTCATCTATATACCTTTATAGGCAGGTGACGTCGAACAGTAACTCGGAATGGTCTTTTCGGCCGACTTCGTGTGTAGCAAGACGAGTGAATTTGGAACAGAAACCATAGACACCTTCCATATTGGGGTTTGTCTTCGGTGCATGATTTATGCAAATCTCCGCATAAATAATATACACTATTGACGAGGTTTGCATGCGTCCAGTATCGAGTAATCGACGTTGGAAGAATTGAGTACCATGATAGAGGCTCTTGAATTATAGCTGACCGATGAAACAGCCAAGAAAGCTAGAAAACACCCCTTCTGTTATATTTTTAGCCTGGTTAGAGCGATATATTTAGCCTCGGCCAAACAAGAGGCGGATATGTATTTGACCATCGACACTAAAAGTACACTAAACATACTTGACGTTGAACCCCGATCTTTGCGACTAGTAGTATCACACTTCCTGTAGCTAAGATGATATATCAGAGGGCTCAACCCCAGCGACTGAATTCATGCGGTGATAAGTCGTGACGGGTACCGTACGCCCCATAGTCCAAAAAAGGGTCGAAAAGAATGAAACAGAAGACAGAAGCTATATTTATGCGGATCCAAGTGTCTATCATAACTCCAAAAACTGTTTGAGATGCAAGTCATTTCATTTTAGAGTAAAACCTCCGGTGGCTTGCATCGAGTGTTTCAGACGGTTCCAGCCATTAGAAGCGACGGCTAAAACCGAAATAGACTAGTTTCGAATAGTAAGCGAAATCAGAAAAGTAACCGAGAAGAACAACTAGAACAATTAGAACCCTTGAAAAGTTCTATAATTTCTGAACTCCACTGGAAGATTTCGGCAAGGAACCGTTGTGATTGGTCGAGGGGCAAAGTGCTCGGATGATCACCTTTCTTAGAGCGGGATCGTTAGGCGAGACGGCTTCACTTAATTTACTTGTCCCATATTTCCTATTAATTATGAGCCAATGTGACAACAGGTCTTTGGACTCTCGCTTGTGAATGCTTTCTCAGCGAAACAGATTCTTCGAATTCGACTCCGCAATCTATGTCCAACCTCGGATAGCGACGTCTTCTCTTTCGTATCTCGCGTGGATGAACCTAGAAGAGGCACGTCGCCGAAAATAAGCTGTCACTGTTCCTATTGCGGGTCAGGTATGAAGTAGACAATCATGGCGGTCTGCTGTGCTCCATTGATATTCGAAGGATCTCTATAGAGTACTCCGTACTATGGATTCCTTCGCGGATTCTCTATCCTAGAAGCGAATTTGCGCCACATCTGCTGGGGAGATGCTTTTCAGTTCAAACTATCTCCTCGGCATATATCTGACCTCTTTGACCCTCAAGGTCTATGAGTAGCCCTTTCGTACATCATCCCCCGAATATCTTTTCCAAGATTCATGGGTCGGCATAGCCTAGCTTATATAGCATCCTCTCTATTCGCCAACATCCCCCACCAAACAGGTTATGATGCAACTTGAGTTGAAGACATGTTCTGCGATGCCATCATTCAAGGGAACACACGGCCATAGCGATTCCTTTCGTTGGCAGTCTCATGCCGCCGAGGTAGACGAACACAATAGACTAGAAGATGTCCTCTCGCTGCTGTTTCCTTCTACAGTCCGTGTGCAGCACTCACATCCAATTTTCGGTCACATGCACCCATTGCGGCTTCTGATGCTGTCAAATGGGGCTCATTTGTTGCTAAAGGGGTCCCCATCATCACGGACCGCTCTGCTTCGACGTGAGCGATCGTTTCTCGAGACCGAAGCCCAGTTTCTTTCTCTTCTAGGGCAGTCTGCAAACCCTTGTATACCGCAGCTCTATCATTATGATCCTCATAGAAGAGTCTGGGGATCTGCCTACTTGGTCCGACAGTATATGAAAGGGAAGAGTCTATCAGAGATGGAAGGCGAGCTCACCTCACAGCAACTAGACGATATCGACCGGCACTTGGGCTTCTTGGTGAGCACCATCGGTCAACATGCAGCCCCTGGGTTTGGGTCGTTGCAGCAAGTGGCATTTGGCGCTGGAAGACCCTCCTGGCGAGAGGCCTTCTGTTCCCTGGTCGAAGGCGTTCTCCGCGACGCCGAGGACATGTTCATCCACCTTCCTTACTCGGAGATCCGACAGGAGCTGAGTCGCTTAGCGCCTGCTCTTGAAGATGTATCGCTGCCACGTCTTGTGGTCGTGGACCTTGGTCGACCCTCCCACGTTTTGGTAGACGAAGAGTCTGGACAGTTGTCCGGCATTGTGGACTTCAGCAGTGCCATGTGGGGTGATGTTTTGATGGCAGAGATATTCGCGGATGCATCCCCGGCGGTCTTTGAGGGAGCAGGGATGGCGGTGTCCAGGACAATGGAGGAAAATATCCGGCTGGCTTTGTATGTGTTTGGAGTACCACTACAATTTAGTGTAATTCTGCTAACTCTTTCTTTTCCTAGGTATGCGTGCTACCGGCTGGTGTCCCAAATCACTGTGCAATATTATCGAACCCGAGATGAGACGAGCGAATTTGATGCGCGGAGACGATTGACAACCACGATTGCGGAAATGACGGGACTTGAGCTGGCATAACGGGGCAAACTGATTTAACTGGCGATTTATATGTCCAGGGTGATACCTAAAACGATCTCGATTATACTGGTTCTGCATAGCGAGGTTCCTTCGAGCGACGGGGCTGGCCCTATACATGCATGTGATTTGGAGTTTTGTTCTTTTTTGCATTGTTATATAGCGTTTTTATCCACGAATTTCAATTTCAAGGGGTTCCAATTGAAACAGAATATGACCTTCATCCCAATCTATATATAGAACATACAAGAAACCAAGAAAAGAATCACGTTGCCTTGAATGCCAAGTCGGAATTGATAGGGCGATAGGGCGGAGCGGGGCAGATCCGTTGTTTAGCTTTTGCATGGCGTCAATGTTCTTCTCCGCACTTGACCTCTTCTACACTCCATAACTTGCTATACCCCTATCGCAGATGGCTCAGTTCCTGCGAGGAAAGCAAGCTGGTATACAGAAGGACCTGTCCGAGGGCTTGTCCCCGGACTTGTTCCTCCTGGACGATGTAAGTTCTTGGCATCCCTGGCATTCTCTTTTCCCCAACTGACACCGCTGTTCTCAGTTCGCACGATGCGGTGTGAATTCGCAGATTAGTACTATCGCATACGATCCCATACAATCCCTCATCGCGGTCGGTACCGGTGATACCCAGTTCGGCAGCGGGCAGATCTATGTCTTTGGGCAACGCCGGGTTTCGGTGGTCTTTGAGTTCCCGCGAAAAGCGTCCGCGCGGTTCCTTCAGTTTTGCGCCGACAAATTGGTCAGCATCGACTCCAAGAATGAAATCTGCATATTCTCCTTGGTGACTGGACGCATGGTGGTTTCCTATACGCCACCGGGCCAGGTAACTGCCTTGCTAACGGACCCGTGCTTGGATTATGCCTTTATCGGCATGCAGAATGGTATGTAAATTGCCAGGGAAAAGAAAAGAACTGAAGATTGACCTGTGGATAGGTGAAATTATTGCTTACGATCTCGACCGAGAGTCCTTGACGCCGTTCAAAGTCCCGAATTTGTGGTTGGAACGAAATCCCCGCGCGCGGTTCTTTCCCGTCGTATCTCTGGAGTTCTCACCGCGAGACATTGGCAAGATCCTAGTGGGATATCCAGAGGGAGCAGTGACATTTTCATTCAAGCAAAATATTGCTCAAAAGTACTTTGTCTATGAAATCCCTCCTGGGGCACCAGGTGGAGACTCCCTACCGGCCCACGACGTGCGCAGACCCAAATTGACAAAAGCGATCTGGCATCCCAACGGGATCTTTATTTTGACCGTTCATGATGATTCAAGTCTAGTGCTCTGGGATACAAAGGATGGCCGTAGGCTTCATGCCCGGACTGTCCAGGTACCCAATGTCGACCAACCCGGTGCTGCTGGCAGACCGGGCTCACCTGGGGAGGGTGTTGGACCCAAGGAGCCGATCACAAAGGCTATTTGGTGCACCAAAGATAACCCGGAAGACACTGGTCTTTTGGTGGCTGGTGGTCGACCAGTAGGTGATCAGAGCAAGGGCCTCGTTTTCCTGGACATGGGGACAACCCCCAACTATCAGACATCCTCCTGGCAGATACTGTCTACTTACCTCGAGCGGCCACGGCGACAAATAAACCTATCAATCCCACCGGGAGCTAAGGTTGTTGACTTTTGCCTCATCCCCCGATCCTCGCCCTATTTCAATGGCGCCCATGATCCAATCGCACTTATCGCTATGCTATCCTCGGGTGAAATTATTTCCTTGAGCTTCCCCAGCGGACACGCAATTACTCCCACTAACATGCTTCATCCGTTCCTCACCTTCGTCCATCCCTTTGTAAACAAAGCTGTGCTTACTCCAGTTGATCGATCAGTGTGGCTTGGTCTGAGAGAGCGCCGGATGCAGGGACCCAGATTTGTGATGGGCGGCGTAGAAGCAAAGAACACTTTCAAGCGATTTGAGAGCCGGAATATCATTTCGACCGCACACGCAGATGGAACCGTCCGTGTCTGGGACTGTGGGCACGGTGATGAAATTGAGAACAGCGACGTCGTTCAAATTGATCTTGCCCGTGCCATAGGCCGAGTCAACAATATCGAAGTGACCGAAATTTCTCTCGCCAGCGGCTCAGGCGAGATGTCTATTGGACTCAAGACCGGAGAGCTTGCTGTCTTCCGATGGGGCAATAACCCCTCATACGGGACTGAGGAGTCCCCCGGCGTCAATCAACCGCCAGGGCAGCTGACCTCGATAACTAAGCGAACAGATCCTGGGCTCAAGACGGGAATGATACCTCTGACTCTTTTGGATATGCAACAAGGTCCAGTGACGGCGTTGAAGCATGGGCAGGTGGGATTTGTAGCGGTCGGTTACAAAAGCGGTACTTTGGTGATTATTGACCTGCGCGGGCCCGCCATCATACACACTGCACATATGTCAGACCTCCTCAAGGGACAGAAGCGGAGCGGGTTCCTCAAGAACCGTGCCTCGGACGAAGTCCAACCAGAATGGCCCACTAAGATTGAATTTGGTGTGATGACTTTGGACGGCGAAGGTAACTATGCATGACTCGGGCTCGAATCAGATCAATGTGCTAACTATGCGCTAGACTACTCAAGCATTTGCTGCTTTGTCGGCACGAACAAGGGCAAAGTCGCAACATTCAAGATCCTCCCTGGTTCCAACGGCACCTACGAAGCTGCTTTTGCTGGATCATCGGCCGTTGAAGACAGGGTAATCAGTGTCATCCCCATCGATGCTGATTCTGGTGGCTCTGCTTTGGCCACACCAAGTGCAGTTGGAGGCTTGAGAACTGGTGCGAAAATTAATGGTGTCGTCATTGCGGTGACTGCCTCTGGCTGTCGAATCTTCAAGCCCCCAACATCAAAGGGTGCTCACAAGGCATGGGATGACTGTCTTTGCGATTCAGCAGCTGTCGTCAAGACTGAAGGACGGGGCTACAGCTTGGTTGGTCTCTTTGGTGACGGTAACGCGCGAGCATTCTCGATCCCCGCTCTTCGGGATATTGGTTGCACCAAGATTGGCCATATTGCGGACATTCGACGTCTCTCGGAAGCTTGCATCACCCCTACTGGAAACGTCATGACATGGGTCGGCCCATCAGAAGTTGGACTGTTCAATGTCTGGGGAGGCGGAAACGTACTGTATGTGTCCCTCATTAATTTGCCGAGACATAGTGCTAATGCTAACTCTACTCATACAGACATCCTTCAAACGACAAGCTTTACAACCCAGCAGCTGTGGTTCCCTCGCGTCCTACCATCACGAACGTGCAATGGATCTCCGGTACACAATATATCTCGCCGGCTGATATGGACATTTTAAGTACGTCACTCCCGCACATGCCGCTCTAACTAGAATCTAATCTGAAATTTAGTTGGCGGCCCAGACCGGCCACCATCAAAGGAGATGGTCGAACAAATGAAATTCGAAGAACAAGAACGTCGGAGAGCTCTAAAAGAAGGACGGATTCCAACGGCACCTGTACAGGGCCAGGAAGGCTACTGGTCTTACATGTCACGTCAAGTCCAAGAACGCACAGAGCGTCTCGGGATTGTCGGAGATAGCATGGACAGGCTAGAGGAAAACAGCAGCGGCTTTGTTAACGATGTTGGCAAATACGTACAGTCACAAAAGAAGAAGGCTATATTGGGCGGTAAGTCAATCTTCCTTCAAAGTCCACAGACCCATGTATAGGGTTTGACGCTTAACCCCCTTGCATAACTGTCGCTGACCGTTCTTTGACAACAGCAATTGGTTCCAAGTTTGGCTTTTAGGCAATATCTCCTACTGAGTAGTACCGGGTTTTTGAAATGGCTTAACTATCCATCGTCGGCGTCTTTGGCTTTTTTTCCGGCGTCATGTTAACTAGCGGGGTCATCGTGCCTATGTTGTAGGATTATTTGACAGATCACTTTGCAATCTCATCCATCCACTTCTTGACTCCCCGCTTCAAGCTGGTCCACCTTGATCTCACAATTGTAGGTGTTTATTCGTCTCGGTTGGCAAACTTAAGAGTATAAGGCTATTTGACATTAATCTATCCCCTACTACTCCGTACAATATAGCTAGTTAGGCATCTGGAAGTCGGTCTTATGTGATACAAATACGGCCCGGTAGTTGTGCCTATTATGGCATATTTAGAGGAAATGAATACCAACGGCTGACTGAATGCCAGTGGGATTAAATTATACCAATTCTATTTCATAGACCGATAGTCAATGCAATTCAGGATAATAACATGGAAAATTAGTCCGAGGGTCGTAAACGTTGCGTTCTGGCTGTCGTTAAATAACATTCAAAAAAGGAAGAGTTTAAAAGCAAAAAAACCACTCCTGCGAGCCGGTAGCACACCATGATCTAGTGTACCATGAGCTCGGGCTGAGGCTGGTGAGTTGGCTTGGCAGCATCGTCCTTGTGTTCTGCGTCGTCGCCCATCTCGACATCCTCATCAGCATCGCCACCCTCTTCCTCGTCGAGCTCATCCTCATCGTCGTCACTCTCCGCCTCAAGATCTTCACTCTCGGCATCGGAGATCTCTTCTTCATCATCCTCTTTGCCAGCGGGGGCCTCGGCGCCTTCCATCTCATGGTCTTCGCCCTCGGCGGGCTTGTTGGAGTCCTCGAGCTCCTTGAGGAGCGCAGCCTCGAGCTCACGCTCCTCGGCACCGTAAGCTCCACTGTCATCGTCGAGACCATCGGCCTCGGGCTGGTCAGGCGGATACTCAGCAGGGGCAGAGTCATCGGAATCCCTAAGAAAAAAAAAGTCAGTAAAAGCCGCACTAGGTATGTAAATAAACGAAACAAGGGGTTCTCACCATTTGATGGCGAAGCGGGTCACACGGGGCTTTTCAGCGAGGACATTGCGACGAATGCGCTCAATAACGGGTTTCGCAGGAGGCTCGGCTGCCAGCTCCTCGCTGTCGTACTCGTTGTTCACATAGTAGCCAACCCGGACAAACTCTCGGCCGTCGTAGCTGCAGGTGAGCAGGATGACAGTGACTCCGAGCATCTCGGAAGTAGGAATGCGCTTGACATCAGGTGCGTCGGCCTCGAAGATGAACTTGTTCACTCCGACAGGGATGGGTCCAACGAGGAGGGAGTCGAGTTCCTGGTCATACTCGGCGCTGTGATAGTTAGACTTTGTGGCATTGGTAGGAAGGAGGGAGGGTGGACGTACGAAGTGGCGGATCCGACGTAGGTGAGTTTCCATTCCAAATCTGAAAGAATGTTAGAAGAGTGGTCTGAGGAGATGGGGAAATAAGCCAATGCTCACCCTTCTGGAGCTGCTCAAGGCACTCGAAGGTAATTTCGAATTGGTACGAGGCGGTGAAAGGAGCCGGGTTGTTGAGGTTTTTCACTCCAAGGAGTGAGACGACGGACATTGTGATAAGATATGAGTGTATGTACGTGGGATTAAAGAGTAGAGGCAAGAGTAGAAGAATGTATGAACAGAGGTGGAAAGAAGAAGAAGATAGAGAAAATAAGAGAAAACAACAGGTCCACAAGAATGCAGTTTACTCTCAACCCCTCTAGCTCAATGCGAGGAGCCCATCGATCGACGCGCCTTTCGCGTCCCTCGCATTATCCTCACCGCCCGCACGTGACCCTAATTTCACTACCCGGGCAACTTGCATCACAGCCCATCGCAGCTTTGCACTCTCTCACTCTTGGCTATTATTTGCTTCACATTGCGGCTGAGGGTTATCTTGTCAACAGTGGCTGTGATCCACCTTAACCCTTGACCTTCGGAGCATTGGTCTTTATTTTAATTCATCCTGATACCACACCGCGCAAACCCTGCTTCGGCCTGCGCCGTGACTTTCGCGGTTGCTAACTTTGCTTCGACCTCGCTCTTATCGCATTGATCATCCATCCCATCATGGCGGACGATGAAGCTGAAGCTGCCTTCTTCCAAGCTCAAGCCTTGAATCCCGATTCCCAATCCCCCACTAAGGAGCAGGAAGGTGATAACTCAGACGCAGAATCAGATGACTACGACCCCTCACTGGCATTGGGGGATCACTACTCCGTCTCCCTTCCCGAGTCCAAGCAGCCTGGTGCCGGCCCCACTGATGCGGCTCCCTCAGATGAGCCCGAAGATCCCATTCCCAACCCGACCGTCGCCCCAGACGCAGATGTCGCCTCAGAAGTAGACGCAGACGCTGGCCAGACCAGTGACTCCCCCGACCCTTCTCAGAACCCCTCACGTGCTGAGTCGTCGACCCCCGTGCCAGCATCTACTGCTGAGCCACAGTCCAAGACCCGAATAATTGGCGGATTTGAGGTTGATGATGACGAGGATGATGAGGGTGACGCGGAGTATGAGCCGCCGGCTGTACTTGGGGGTGAAGATGTCAATGCTATGCCTGTGACCATGTCTGAAGATCCCAGTTCAGGAAATGCAATGCAAAACACTTCCCCTGATGTATCATCACACCATGCTGAGCAGGCACCTGCCAGTGGACCAGATGTTGCCAATAGTTCTTATTCTCCTGATCCTGTTCATAATATTGATCCCTCTTCTGTTCCTGGCCAATCGCACTGGGCTGCGCAAGACCTGCAATCCGCAACCATGCAGAACAGTACTGTTCCTACTTCTGTACCTGAGTCTCCAGCCTCAAAGGGTCGTCTGGCCCATGACCGTGTCGGCATGCTGGAAGACCGGATTCGAGAGGATCCCCGAGGTGATATCCCTGCTTGGTTGGAGTTAATTTCCGAGCACAGAAGCCGCAGCAGACTAGACAGCGCACGTGACACCTATGAGCGGTTCTTGAAGTTGTTCCCCATGGCGGTAAGCTTACCTTTTCTCCCTTTCTTTGTGCTTTCATTTTCACCCTCGGCAAGATACAAGATTGCTTATGGGATGTATCACAGGCCGACCAATGGGTTGCTTATGCCAGCATGGAGTCTGAGCTCAATGAATTCTTCCGCTTAGAGCAGATCTTCAACCGAACGCTCCTTACAACCCCCAGCGTTCAGCTCTGGTCTGTCTACCTTGATTACATTCGTCGTCGTAATCCTTTGACAACAGATGCCTCTGGCGAGGCAAGGAAGACCATTTCATCGGCATATGATATGGCCATTCAATATGTTGGGATGGACAAGGATTCCGGAAACATATGGGCAGACTACATTGAGTTCATCCGTTCTGGGCCAGGCATCGTTGGTGGATCTGGATGGCAGGATCAACAAAAGATGGACCTACTGCGAAAGGCCTACCAACGAGCCATTGGCGTGCCGACCCAAGCTGTCAATACTCTCTGGAAGGAGTATGATCAATTCGAGATGAATCTAAACAAGCTCACGGTAAGCTGGACAGTACTCGAGTTCAACTGGCTTATATTGACCTTTTCTATCAGGGACGCAAATTCCTTCAAGAACATTCACCGTCATACATGACTGCGCGTAGCTCATACACCGAATTGCAAAACATCACTCGTGACTTGATTCGCACTTCGCTTCCACCGCTGCCTCCCCTTCCGGGGTCTGAAGGCGACGTTGAATTCTCAGCACAAGCAGATATCTGGAAGCGCTGGCTCGCATGGGAAAAAGAAGATCCTCTGGTACTGAAAGAAGAAGACCCTGCTGCTTACAAGTCACGCGTAGTGTACTTCTACAAACAGGCACTCATGGCACTGGCCTTCTTGCCCGAGATGTGGTTTGATGCAGCCGAGTTCTGCTTCTTGAACGACATCGAGGACGCAGGCACGGAGTTCTTGAAGAATGGCATTGATGCAAACCCAGAGAGTTGTTTGCTGACATTCAAACGCGCGGATCGACTGGAGGTTACCTCGGATGCGGAACAGGATTCCGCCAAGCGTGCTGCCAAGGTCCGGGAACCGTACGACAAATTGCTTGATGCTCTTTACGAGTTGATCAATAAAGCTCGCAACCAGGAAACCCAGGACGTCGCACGCATCGAGGCATATTTTGCTCCACAAAATGTGGAAAGCCAACCTCAAAATGAGGACGATGATGATCCTGAAGCTAAAGAAAGAGAAGCCGCCAAGACGGCACAGATTGATGCGGTCCGGAAAGCCCATTCCGTTCAGATCAACATTATCTCCAAGACTGTCTCCTTCGCATGGATTTCACTCATGCGTTCGATGCGTCGAATTCAAGGTAAGGGAAAACCGGGAGAACTGGCTGGCTCTCGCCAAATCTTTGCCGAAGCCCGGAAACGAGGTCGGATTACTAGCGATGTTTACATCGCGAGTGCTCTGATGGAGTACCATTGCTACAAAGACCCTGCAGCCACCAAGATCTTCGAGAGGGGTGCAAAATTATTCCCGGAGGATGAGCACTTTGCGCTCGAATACTTGAGGCATCTGCTCGACATTAATGATACCATCAGTAAGTTGACATCCCGTGTTTATAAAAGACCTACTAACCACTGCAAAAGATGCCAGAGCCGTGTTCGAAACAACCGTCAGAAAATTGACATCCAACCCGGAGAATGTGCACAAGGCTAAGCCCATCTTTTCCTTCCTCCACGAGTATGAATCTCGCTACGGTGACCTCACCCAAGTTATCAACTTAGAGAACCGCATGCGCGAACTATACCCGGAGGATCCTGTCCTGGAACAATTCGCCAATCGCTACTCCAACTCCAACTTTGACCCTACGTCGGTGCAACTCATTTTGTCCCCATCCCAGACAAGGCAAAAGACCAATATGGCAGGAATCTCCGCGGAATATCACGGTTCTCCCATGGCCAGATACATGGATACCTCTCTCAATTCGCCTAAGAGACCATATCCTACTGATGAATATGATGAAGACTCAGGTCGTCCACGAAAGTTTGTTCGCGCTGAGTCACCAATGAAGAGCGCGCAAGCTCGGCGCCTCGACCAGCCGAAACGAGTACAACAGTTGAACGGCCAGAGCACCTCGTACAGACCCCAAGGGTCTCCAGCTCCTCTTCCTCGTGAAGTGGTGAATCTCTTAAGCATCCTGCCTTCTGCGGCAACATACAATATCACCCGCCTTTCTCCCGAGAAAATGATAGACCTTCTTCGCCACGTTGATATTCCTTCCGACATTTCACAAATACAGATACCGCAAGCTGCGCACGGTGGAGGCCAAAATCCCTACTCCGGTAAGTCTATCATCTGTCTCTCCCATAATGACATTCTCACTCATATATCCCCAGGTGGTTACCGTTGAGTCCGCGATTGCTCGTTTCTCTCTGGGGACCACCATCGTTCCACTTGCAGTGTAAAACCCTTTGCTCTCTGCTTTTGCAATTTCATTTCCCCGGCGCGCAAAATATCCCGATTTGTCTTTGAGAACTCGATGGCCCAGCTTTTTTTTTCGTGGGGGTCATTTCATGAAACATGGTCGGAGCATACGCGGTTGTTTAGAGCCCAGCCCCCTTTGCATCTTCCATCGGCGTTGATCTATCTGGCATTTATCTCTTTCTTTTTTTTACATAGGGCCACAGGTCACCAATTCTGCTTGCTAGTTGGTCCCACCCAACCATGCTTTGTACAGACTCGAATAAGCAGATAATCTCACGAATAAATTAAGCAAGCACCATGCACTCAATTTGTAGACTGTTTGACTATCTAGAGAATTGGTTCAAGACCCTTCCGTCCATTTGGCCTGAACACTTGTCTGGCTGCCTCTCCTCACCACTTCCAGCCATTTGGCCCAGATTTGACATCATCCGCCAAGGCGGGAAGGTCCTCATCGTCACTGGGGGGCGCCAGGACTAGGAAAACATCACGAAGTAGTCGTCTCTCCATCCTTGGGGGGATGGGAAAGCCCGGCCGAAACCGGAGATTTTGCTGCGTGTTATTAGCTTGGGATTGTAAGAGATAGAGTAGAACATACACATTATCATTGGAGTCGACGATGATTTTTGTTGGGGTCTGAAAGATTGGCTGGTACTTGAAGCTTAGAACCTGGCTAATTCTAGTTAGCAATAATTATATGAGAATCAAGCCCGAGTAACAAACTTATAGGCCTTCTTGAAGTTTTTCCGAATTTTCTGTCGTTTGGTGGACGGATACATCCAGAACTGCTCAATATCAAGAGAATCTCCTGTGACTTTTTCCCATACAAGGTATATGATATACCCGCCAGGGACAAGGTCCATCTTGTCTTGCTTGCCGATTTCATACCCAAGGAGTCTGGGGGTAGCAGTGCAGCCATTCTCTGTAAAACGCTTCAGAGCACCCAGCTCTGGGTGGTTGCGTGGCCCGCAGGCCTGTTTCTTGCGGACCGTCCAGTTTTCATTTTCAGTGTCGATCAGAGGAATCTGTTTGTAGATACGCATAAATGCGAGCTTCTTCTCATTCCCAGCACCGACAAGACGACAAGAATATTTTCCAGCGGTGTATGCCGGGCCCATTCCAATGGCGAAATCCTGTTGGGTAATCGGGGTTGGTTCCTCGCTTAGCTTTTCCATGATTAGCCATTTGCGAGTGGGATAGAGAGTAGCGTATTTTTCATTCGAAGGGTCAGGGGCAGTGTGTAGTGATCTCTTCATCAATCATCTTGGGAAGAAATAAACGAGGATCCATTTCGGACATAGTAGGCGTGAAAGGGGAGGATGGTATCAGAGGCTAAGAGAAGAGAGAGCAATTGCTGACTTAGGAAAATAAGAAGAAGGAGAGGAGCAATTATACTGGTAGTCCTAGCAAAAATATCATGTGATGTCAACATCCTATACAATAACCCATGCGATAGTCACACTGACGTATGTATCACAGGGTGTGGCTGCACGGTTCCAGGGTTCTAGTTACCGGGTATACCTACATACATCTGTAATTAATATATTCGACCTACCTCTATACTGCATATCTAAGACTAAGACACACAATGGTCGTTTAGGTGTAGAAAGGGTTGTCTGTGTGCTTTTTTATCTTCGTTCCTATGGCTTTAAAGACCATTTTCAGAAATCAAAAGTGGAAACTTACAATCAGGCAACATGGGGCAACAAGAAAGAGGCTAAGTGCAGCCTAAGGCCCTTTTCATTTGCTTATACTATCCGCAGTTCATCCGGCTCTCCAAACGAAAACTAGCTACAGAATGCCGTCACGATCATAGGTACCACAGAACAGCTACACGTACATACATCTTAGACCGACGTGGCAAATAACCACAGAAGCAATGAGATGCCTAATGCAATTTTTTAAAATGAGTTCACTTGCATTCACTCAGTAGGGCAGACCTAAAGACATTTGGCCTGACGTATTGATAGATTATGAGGATAGCTACGAGATATAGCGATATATCTATTACCTAGAAGGCAATTGGTACCTTAAGATAGTCATTTCGATCTACAAGTTCCCACTGAAAACTAGAAAAATAAGTTTGAAATATAGCTGGAATAGACAAGATCAATGCTAAGGGTAGCCGTTCATTGGAGTTAGGCGGTTAACATCAGATGCTTCAATGCAATAGCAATCATGATGATCATTGCGCCAGTGAAGATTGTCAACGAGGCTATCAGTATTAGTTTAGTTTTCAACTGCAGATAAAACAGTTTATCCGGGCCGTGTAACAGTTGTAGTGTAGTACCTCGTCTAGGTGATTGACTCGGATATCACTATTCGTTTGTAGAATCATAGAGATGTAGTGACCATAATTAATTTACGTGGCCAATAATATGAGAAGCATCTTTGAGATACATCGGGCAACGTTCAGAAGGAATTGATCAAGTTTAGGAGTGCTGAGAGTGTCTATAAGTACCAGCTTTTCTCTCATCGTTTCTTTCCCTTCCACCTTACTTTTCCTCTCTAATTATTTCAATCCGACGAGCTTTTGTACCTTCCTTTCTTCAATTGCTTCCACATTTGGCAATTCGCGATCCCAGGGAACTCTTTCTTCACTTGCCCCATCATCTCTCAGATGTGAGTCTTACCCAAGAGCCTTTGACGTGAAGCTTAATGGTATCCTGACAAAAAGCCTTTTTATAGTCCGCAACCAGAACAGATCACACAATGCCAGGTACTCGAAAGGCGTCTTCCTCGCCTTCTTAAGGCTTCCAACAAGACCACAAGCTCCGCAATGCACAAAATCACCTGGACTGGCAAGCTGGCTCAATGGGAGAACTTCAGGGAAGATGTTAGCGCTAAAGTGCGCGAACCTTGGTCCCCGACCGTTATTGATCTTGCACTTGAATCTCGTGATCTCAAGCAGGAGCAAGTCTTGGTCGCCGATGAACTAGGCGTTCGTGGACGGTTCCAACAGGCTGTTGGGCAAGTCCTCGGAACAGTCTTTCAAGCAGAGCTCGTGAATATTCGCTTTGCAGATTTTAAGGCGGCTGGTGTTCCTTACTCCAAGACACCGGATGTGGCTATGGTGCCACGCGAGGGCTCAGCTAGCCTGAAAGCTCTGGGGGAGATCAAAGTCCCCTGGGTTGACGGACCACAAGCTGGTGAAGCGGACTGCGTGTGAAGCACGTGTGCGTTCTACAATCGGGCAGATCGCTGAATACATGATCGATAATCGGGTCCCATATGGGTTCCACTCGACATACAACGAGGTCATATTCTTGCGTTACGTCCAGAAAGACGGAGAATGGAGAATGGAAGTTTCGCCAGTCATCGGCAACAAATGGTCTGAAGTTTCAGTCAACGAATGTTTCTGGTACTTCTCATCGCTGGCAGTCGACGGGCACCCTATTGAAGACGACACCAACAAGAATGATCTGTTCCGTAATTATTGACTTCAGTCCTATTAGCCAATTCTTATTTTCCTTGCTTCTCCGCCTCTCTATACTTAGTATTCTAGTTGAAATGCACTCTTTTCCTTCAAATGACAGTTTGACCGTTAGAAGTAAATTTGCTGAAGATTCAACCAGTAATTCAAGTTGGTACCTCCTGACAAGATCACCTGATCTTTCCTACGTCGTCGATGCAATTTCCACACAATATGAAGACCTACGAGTCTTCGGCTACAGCCATCCCCACCCCCATGTATTCCGTGGGACTCGTCAAGCGGCAATGAGAGCCACGACTTCAGGAACATCCACGAGAAAGCCCAGTTTGATGTTTGATGCTGACCTACATGGACTTCCACAACATGGTAATGTTGATGTCCCTGTGGTAGGTTGGGCAGCAGGTGCTACGGGACCCTCTGCCTACGCTGTCTCTGGGGGCTACGGAGAGATGGTGTTCAGAGGGATGGGGAGAGGAAGAAGAGAAGAGAGTTGGGGGGAAGGGGTCCCTTTTATACCCCCAACCCACGTGCCTTCCTAAAGTGCGACACCCTCCATCGCACCTTCCCTGTCAATGTCAATGTCAATGTCACGGGGTTATCTTTGAGATTTCCATCACAGCACGCGAACGTAAAGCACTCTGGGAATTCCTCGCGCATTTCATCGGTGTCCACCTCAAACTCATCATAATTGTCAACATAAAGATCTTCGCCAGTAGGCTCATCTCCCCCTGTCATGGATTAGCTTGTTGAGAATACTGGAAATTCAATCTCCATTCTGGGCAGTCGTACTTGGATGATACCGACAGTTTTCCTCCGTATTAGATGTGACATCGAATTCCTTCTTACAATTGACACAAGACGCGTAGCGTGGTACCGGTCTCTTATTGTTGCCAGAGCTCTCTTCAGTATCGGAAACTATCGCCACCAGTCGACTCTCGGCTTCTTTGCGGGCTTCGTCGTTTTTCGCGCAGATGAATTTGAAAACCGCGCGTAGTGTCTGTTCGGACGCGTTGTTGATCGCGCGACCGAGAACGGTGGCCTCGAGCACTTCCTCGGTAATTGCATGATGGTTAGTCTTGTTGCTAGGGTTGGCTATTCAAGACTGCTGGTAATAATAACAAAAGTTGCAATGAACTAGTAAGAAAGAAGAAGAAAAAAAAAGAATGGGCCCGAGCCCGGGATCGAACCGGGGACCTCGCGCATTAATGCTTTGGGTGAACCCTAAGCGCGAATCATACCACTAGACCACCCGGGCTATTTATGGAAATTTTGTGGAAATTTGACAACTCAAGCCATTTTGTCGATGGACGCAGCTTTTCTGAATGTTCGCCATGTAATCCTCAGGCTTAATTGTGCAGACTTTACGACAATGGTAGGAATGTTCCCAAGCGATAGGATTCTCTTCGCCGCCACTCATTGCAATTGGGAAGCCTAAACAATGTCCCTAAATTCACTGAAGTTACTGAATACTTGGCCCATATTAAAGTACACGCATATGATATCAATCTGAAAATATATCATCTCCCAAAAAAGCTACTATTTAATCGCAGCGAGATTTCATTAAGAGAAGTGTCTTTGGAACTAAGCAATCGTCAAGGCACTGAAGCTCCTGCCTCCTCCGTCGGCTCTGAGATGGCAAATATTAACCCACGCTTGATAGAACTTCGCCCCCTCACCATCACGGGGCCTTCGCTGTCTCGAGCCATAGAGTATCATTGGTAAGCCACTGCCTTTAGTCTTGGCTGTCGTGTTGATACAATGAACATTTATTCATAGGGAAGCTATGATAATGCTATAGTATATAACACTGTCAAATTGAAATCCAGTTGTTATCCTCGTTCAACTCAAGATGGATTTTGTTAGACCTCACGGATGGGAAATTCTTGGTTCTGGTCATCCAGACATTATATCGACTCTTAGTCCACCCAACCCCTTGCAAATATCCCGGATCCATTCGCGATTACGATCATAAATACGTATTCTCTGTCACCCCTGAAGATTCGTACCAATACACGAATGATTGGCAGCGTCAAAGCACCGCCTAATTTCAGGTTGCCGACCACGAGGCATTACTCCAGCCATGCTAGAACCCTTTCTCGCACTTCGTTCGTTTCAGGAAATCGCCTGAATATTCCGTCAGTAAGAATGATTTCCTTAGGAACTAGTACAATGCCAAGATCTACAGCCCACGTCTAGTACGAGCTCATGCAATGCAACAGTACCCAATTTGAGTCTACCCAAAGGACTAGTAGTATTACGGTCCCCCTCAATTACCCCCACATGTCTTTTACTCTTATTTCTATCTTCCATCGCTCCTCCGCGATCCTACCTTCAAAACCTATCAATACAACCTCCATCGAACATTACAGAATGGTCCGTTTCTCCACCTCGCACCAACCTCTATTTTAATTCAGTAGGCTAACAAACTCCTCAGAACCAAACCTATAGTGCTGGACCCTGCCACGTCCATAACAGGATGCGATTGAGAAAACCATACCTGAAAGACAACCTCCCAACCCAGCTATGTCTTCTATGTAATCGGGCCTTCTGCATCGACCACGAGGGGAAGGAGGACGGTGTCTGTGAGATCAATCATGTCACATACTATCGTAACCATCCGGAGAAGCAGGAGTACTTGTAGCGGACGTATGAGGAGTGGAAGGAAGAAAGTGAGAAGATGAAGGCGTCGAGCATTCAGTGAGGTGATGTGATGGTGGGGAAAACAGAAAGTCCCTGGGCAGACATCCCACACATCGGTCTTCCATATAACCATGAATTTGACATAATCCTCGTCTCTCTGCTTCTTTGTAGGTATCTGGGAGCAGTATATCGCCAGTTCAGCCACAAGACAGGGCAACGTATTTTGATTATAGTAAGTCACTGTATTGATACTGATACAGGAATCTCGATAATCCGTTTCTAACCCTATTATAGACTAATGGATCTTCGCATTGGGTTTTGTACAGTGGTTACTAACATTTGCAGTTACGTGACGGCGCCAATGAGGCAAAACTAACCACATACAGTAATTCACAGATCCGCCGTTTACAGAATATATAATTTCTCCAATAAAGCCGAATTCGGCGCACTTGCTAATCCTATAGGGTCCAACATGCTGGAAAATTGAAGCCATTTTAACTTTCGAATCCATGGTATCTATCTAAATGCAGTTTAAAGCCAAGTAGTAGGACCAAGACCTTGCCCATGATAAAACAGCTCAATAGGAACAGTAAAGACCATATTTCCAGCGATAATAATAGGCAAATGACATTTCCGAACAGTCTCTACTTCTTCTTCGGCGGTGCAACATTGAACTGGAAATGTACAATATCGCCATCCTTGACGACATAAGTCTTGCCCTCCTGTCTGTACTTTCCAGCAGCCTTGATTGGCCCCATCGACTTCTCGCCGTTGCAGAGGTCATGGAAGTCCTGGTACGCCACGACTTCGGCCTTGATGAAACCGCGCTCAAAGTCGCCGTGGATAACACCAGCTGCTTGTGGAGCGAGTGTTCCCTGCTTGATCGGCCAGCAGCGGATCTCTTTCTCGCCGGCGGTAAAGTAATATTGCAGTCCGAGCTTAGTGAAGCCTGCCATGACTGTTAGTATTGGATACGTGAGGCAAATACTGGGGACATACCCTCGGTAGTGATCTTTCCCAAGCGGCTCTGGACCTTAATATCGGCCATGAAGGCGTCTAGCGCTGGCTTGTCATCCTTTAGGGACCACAGCTTCTCCTCAAACTCGACGGAGAAGGGGATGATATCACTGCCCTGGCCGCCGTGGGCCTTGACCCACTCCGCGATCTTGGGCAGGTACTTGCACTTCTGGCGGATGTAGTCCTTCATCGTAAGGTTGATGAGGTAGATTACCGGCTTGGTAGTGATGAGACGTAACTTAATATTGTCAGCATTGTCACTGATCTCGAGAGTATTAGAATTGGACAAACCTTCTCGTTGATCAACTCGATTTCCGGAGTCGTCCACTCTCCATCTCTAACAGGCTTATCCTGTTCCAAGAGCTACAAGGAGTTAGCAAACTACACATTTCTTCGAAGAGAAATCGTGACTTACCTCCTTGATTTTAGCAGTGGTCTCGTCGAACAGCGGCAGCATCTTGAATTTTCCTCCAGCCTTCCGCACAATTGCCTCTTCGGCAATCTTAGCTTTGGCGAGAATATCCAAATCCTTCTTACACAGCTCGCTCTGAATAGTATCTGCGCGCAGCACCATCAGCGTCTACTTCTCCTGCATCACCTGGACAGGGATAAATGCTTACCTAAGTCGCGGACAGGATCAACGGAGTCATCCACATGAAGAACCTCATCGTTATCGAATGCGCTGTGTAATAGTAAGTAGCCGCTTCGTTTCTCAAGTTCCCACCACGAACGCACCGGACAATGTGGTACATGCCATCCACGGCCTGAATATGACTCAAGAATGCATTTCCCAACCCGGCTCCCTCACTGGCTCCCTTGATCAACCCCGCAATGTCCGTAACCTGCAAATAGGCCGGGTACTTGCTGGGTGGGTTCCAGATCTTGCACAAGAAGTCCTATCTTCCATTAGCCAGGGGCTCATCGTACTTTAAGTGACCAAAAAGGGAAAGAGCCTCTCCCGGGAAGGGTAAGATCCATCACGTGGAAAAACGCACACAGAAATCGAGAAAAGGCAAAAACATACATATCTTGGATCGGGAACGATGCAACGGGCTTCATTTGGCTCGATGGTGCAGAATGGATAATTTTCTGCCGCAGCGTTCTGCTCCGTCATGAGGTTGAACAGCGAACTCTTGCCGACGTTTGGCAGGCCAACACAGCCCATCTTGAGGTTGGACTTGACGCGCCCGAAGGCGACGACATTGTTCGTCGGCGCTTCTACTGCTTTCTTTGGCGGCATAGTGTACTACAGTTATCACCGGGGTTTGAGGATAAGAAGGATGGAGGTGTTTGCCTACGACAGAGCAGTTGTGCGTGTAGAAAAGTTTTCATTGTGCCATTGGTCAGCTGTCACTGCATTCTCCACCATCGTAAGTTATACTCAGTTTGCTGTATTAGGTGTTTCTACAAAGAAGATTACATATCGGCTTTTTTGTCTTATCTTAAGATCTAGAAACCCACTTGGATATGTTAGGTCGCTATAAAATAACGAACATTGTAAATATCTTCTACACATTGAAGTGCTTTGTGCCTGTACAAAAAAGCCGCCACTCCCCAATTTATCAGGACAATGGTACGGAGTTCTCGGTCCAACGCTTCCAAACGCCGAAGTGGGGTTTTGGGTTTCACGGGTCGAACGCAAAAACTAGTCTAATGCAAAATGTACCTTTTCTATGGGATACACATACAAAAGGTACCTAATCATTTGTTCTCAAATAGACTTTATAGTGATATAGAAATCAAGTCGAAATAAAGCGTGGTCTAGAAGAAAGATTTAAGAAATTTGCACTATACACTTCTACTAGACAGAAGTTGACAGCTAGAGGGACCCGATTGGAGGGTTGTACCTTCAGTCCGTTTGTATTCTGACTAGCGGTTGGTTGTCTAGCCCTATCTCGGGTAGGCACAGCTCATTTTGCAGTCGCCTCAGTAATGATGTTTGATATCATCTGTTAACCTGGATTAATCCAAACCTACTGCGTTTGCTAGCTATCCTCTTTTCCAGCCTCGGCTGCACCGCGCCCAAAAACACGAAATAAAACAAACTAATTGGGCGAGTATTTCGAGCACATCCTCTTGATCCAGTATATATATCCCTGACTGAGACGGACTGATGTTTTTGGCAGCTACATATAATGGCGACTTCACCTTACGACACCACGCAATACAACTCGGAACAATTTGTCGAATGTGATAAGATCCTGTCCGACCTGTCCGACAGCTAGAACAAGGAAGTGTGCCTTATCCAATACCAAGCGGAGAATGAATGGCTCTTAGCGAAGGAATGCCACCAAGAGACCGGCTATCAAGCGATATGTAGACTACCATGTCCACAACTGTATGTATCCTTGTGTCTATATAGAATGCACCACCTCATGAAAGTAAGCCTAGAGTCCTAGTAAGGGTGGTTGTGACCTTGTAGCCTTGTTATGGTTCCTCCATGGCCATGATTGTGATGGATTCTAGTAGCGTGGGAAGGGATGTTATGATGAGTCGCCAGGTCCGTGGAGAACTCGTATACTTCGTCTATGTAATAATTGTGGTCG